CCGCAGTTTTTTATTATATCATTGCTGTTATCAGGAAGATGCTGCTGCCCATCTCCTGCCTGTCTCCCGCTGCCGTCTCTTACGACACCCACGGGAACATATGGGGTAGTGGATGTTTTCAACCGCCACTACACGGCAAACGTGTTGTTCATTGGGTGGTATATTGTGAAGATTATTCTTTGATCTTTTGACAATTAATGAGCGAAGTACAGTAACTTTTTTTGGTCCAGAATGAGAACCACAGCTTCCAGAACTACTGTGTTTCGAGTATTTAACCAGTTATGGTCCTTGACCTTGGGAATTTGGCAATGCAGTACTTGAAATTGACTGATTAGTTGGCAAATTCAGTATTGGAATTCGTGAAATCTGATACTGATAGGGAGACGTCAAAGTTGATGTCTCTGAAAAAGATGGCAACGTTGGTGTTAGAGTTCTTGATGGCGGCTGATGAACGGGAAAAGATGTCATCGTTGGTGTTGGAGTTCTTGATGGCTGCTGCTCAACGGGAAAAGGCGATGTCGGTGTTGTTGAATCTGAACGAACTGGAGATTGACTTATGTAATATGGCTCTTGCAAATAATTAGAAGTCGGTGTAATAAATGGATAATTTTCATATTTGCCTATATCTGCGTCAAAAAGAATATTACTAATTAAATGTTCGACGACTCACTTTGTACGCGAACTGTATGATCTATGTTTGTTAGCAACATGCTCTCCAAATGTAGTACTTTAGTCCCTCTTACGTCGTCTTTTAAGATCCTCCTGCATATTATTATAGGCTTCTTCTGCTCGTTAATCAAACGTATTACTTTTCCGTCGTTGTAATTTATTTGGTGATTTAAATATTTTATTTGTACTAGGTGCAGAATGATTTGAATCACGGCTCATAATATTTTCCTGGATTTCATTGGAATCATTCTAAAATAAAGATAAAATAATCTATTAACAATATTTTCATTAAAACGAATAAAATACCTATGTGAGCATAAATTAATGTTTTTTGTTGCAGATGCCTTCTAACAGTGAAGATTGGAAAAAAGTTGCAGATATGTTTGACCTAAACTGGAATTTCCCTCATTGTATCGGGGCACTCGATGGCAAACATTGCGTGTTACAAAATCCCATACATGGAGGCAGTGACTACTACAATTACAAGTCTGATTTCAGTATTGTATTAATGGGAATATTAGATGCAAACTACTGTTTTATATATGTTAATGTTGGAACCCAAGGGAGGATTTCCGATGGTGGTGTTTTTAGAAACACAAAATTTTGCGAGAAACTGCAAGGAAATGAATTAGGATTGCCACCAGATGTCTCTCTTCCGTATCGTCAGATGTAAATGTCTTTTGTCTTAGTGGCCGACGATGCATTCCCTATGCAAAAGCATATTATTAAATCTTATTCAGAACATCAAGAGTCTAGATCAGTAAAAAGACTATTTAACTACAGATTAAGTAGAGCTCGCAGAGTTGTGGAAAACGCCTTTGGAATTTATTTATTTATTTATTTAACAGTTTATGTACACACATACTTTGACAGAAAATGGTAAAAACAAAATTATGTACAAAGGCACTGCTTATTCCATAAAGAAATTTCTTCCAGCAGGCCTATCGAAGGATAGTTGAAGGAAATAGAAGTAGTCAATGTGTGCACTTTATTAACATTAACATATACAATAAAATACAAATTTACAAACCTACATATATATTATACACATACGTACATACATACACATACATATATATACATATACATACACATATATATATATATATATATACATAAATATAAAATACCAATATAATATATTATAAGAAAAAAAGATAATATAATTCAATATATTATATTTTTAATATTACGTATATGAATATCTACACATAACGAATTAATCATTATGGTGTGAATGATAATGCTCTTTAACAAGTCTTTTAAACATAGACACCGACTTAGCGTCACGAATCCTAAAGGGAAGTGAATTCCACAATCGAACTGCATTAACAGTAAAAGAATGAGAATAGAGCATTGTATTGAAAGATGGAAATCTTAACAGTGTTCTAGTGTTTGATCTACATGGGACATCTGGAGCATGAACAAAAGTAAAGCGATTTTTTAGATATAGCGGAGTATCAGGGTTATGTAGAATATTGAAAAGAAGACAGAGGATTCGAGTGTTCCTGCGAAGGCGGATGGGGAGCCATTTAAGCTGCTTGCGATAAACAGAGACGTGATCGAACTTCTTTAAGCCAAAAATGTATCGAATACATAAATTTTGCAAGCGCTCGAGTTTATTAATTTGCTCCTCGGTAGCATCCAAATAAAAGACATCAGCGTAATCTAAAATTGGCAATATAAGAGTCTGGACTATAGATATCTTAGTAGACAAAGGTAGAAAACTTTGAAGGCGTTTTAGAGAATGAAAGGCGTGAAATATTTTCCTGCTTACATCCGTAACATGTGCGCGCCAAGTCAAATTGCAGTCGAAAATAACACCTAGGTTCTTGGCAGTATCTGAGTAGGGAATAGTGGCACCATCGATTCGTAGAGTTTGGAGAGAGGAGAAATCAAGCGTGCCACGCGCATGTCTTTTACCTATTATCAAGGCTTGGGATTTAGTTGGGTTTAATGTGAGACCAAATGATCTCGACCATTTGCTAATCTTATTTAAGTCGTCATTCATAGCTTCAATCGCCATGTTGGCTTCGGATGCCACAAAATTACGATATAACTGCAAATCGTCAGCATATAGGTGGTAATTAGCTGATATGACCTTGGTGATACAATTAATAAAAATGGCGAAAAGCAGAGGAGAGAGGACTCCACCTTGAGGTACACCCGCAGTTACATTATACCATTGGGAGTATATTTCACCTGAACGAACACATTGTGACCGATCACGAAGGTATGAGTCAAACCATTGAATAACAGATTTGGACACATTAATCGTCTTAAGGATACTTATAAGGATATCAAAATCAACAGAGTTGAATGCACTGCTGAAATCTAGTAAAACCAGAACTGTTAAGTATCCATGGTCCATATTCCAACGGATATCGTCAGTAACTTTAAGAAGGGCAGTTGTAGTACTATGTCCGGGTCGGAAACCAGATTGATATGGACATAAGATATTATTTCTGTTGAGAAATGCTGAAAATTGCTTGTGGACAATGTGTTCAAGAACTTTAGAAAGAAATGGCAAGATTGAAATAGGACGAAAGTGAGAGGGAGATGAAGGATTGGATATCTTAGGGATAGGGATAATGTGTGCTAATTTCCATGACGATGGAAAACAACAAGAAGATAAAGAGAAATTAAAAATGTGTGTAAGAACAGGAAGAAGAAAAGAGAGGATAGGTATTATCACATTGGAGCATATGCCGTCATTTCCAGTGGCCGTTGATGATATAGCTAAAATTGATCGGTTGATATCGTCTTCAGTTACTACAGCAAAATCAAATGTATCACACTGCAGAACTGGGTGCTTATCCAATTCTAAAATTGACCCAGCTTTATCACGCGTAGAGATGGAGACAGGAGGGCAAGAAAAATGTTGGTTAAGAATATTTAAGTCTATATCTCCACTTAGAAGTGTTCGTGACTTACCAACACCAACAGTTTTAAGAAATCTCCATGCTTTTGCGGGATCACTTTTAGTTAGAGAATTATAAAAGTAACGTCTTTTTGCATCTCTGCACAAACGGTTGCACCGATTGCGTAGGTTCTTCTAATTTGTTAAATTACTCTCCAGCGGAAATCGCTTGTATCTTCTTTTAGCCCTGTCTCTACGTGCCATGAACGCCTTTAAAGCCGAAGTTATCCAAGGGGCAGGATTATGTTTTATTTTAACACGTTTAACCGGTGCATGAATATCATATAAGCTAAGAATGACATTGTTAAAGCTGTTTACTTTGTCATCTACTGTTTGGCTAACAAATAACGGCGTCCAATTTATTAAACTAGCGTCACGTCTTAAAGCCTCCAAGTTAATGCTCCTGAAACTTCGAAGGAGTCGAAAGTTCGACTTACGTTTAGGAGGTCGAACACGATAAGACAAATAGATAAGGTCATGGTATGAGAAAGAAGCGGTCAGTTGTCCATGACTGGCAACATTATTTGGAGAAGAGACTATAATTAGGTCGAGAAGAGATGGAGTACAGTTTGGGAATTGTGAGTGGCTGAAAGAGGTAGTATCTGAAGATTAAAAGAGGACAATAGTGATTGCAGCTTATTCGCACGGTGGTCATTTCTGATAAGGCACGTATTGAAATCACCCATCAAGATAACGTGATTATATAAGAGATTGAACTCACTAAGTAATTTTTCAAATGCGTCGAAATAATTAACATTAAGGTTAGGACTATAAAGAACTCCTAGTAATATTTGTGTGTGATTAAGAGTAATTTCCAAAAACAGGTGTTCAGCAGAGTTAGAATATATTTGTGGAGATGTACTGATCACCTTAAAAGGTATTTCAGCACGCAGATAAATAGAAACACCTCCACCGCCCTTGCCCACTCGGTCATTGCGTATTAATACATAACCAGGAAGTGAGTATAGAGTGGAAGGAAGAGTAGGTTTAAGGAAAGTTTCAGAAATCAAAAGAGCATCGAGATGAGTACTGCTAATGGAAATCTATCATCCGTATTCAGAGTTCTACGAAAACCAATGCTTCTTGAACCAGAACGAGCTACAACAGTAATAATGACCTGTGTATATTTACACAACTTTTTAAGAAAAAGCAAGCTATCCAGATGTATTTATACACTCAGGGGAACTTTTGATCATGATGATTGTGGGACTGTGATGTTGGGTTCTTGGCGAAGAATAAATGAAGAAGACCCACTTGCTTCATATTTTCCATTACTGAACGTTCCACGAAGATCTGCTTTAAGTACTGAGCAAATATGCAATGAATTTGCGGAATATTTTCCACCGTAGGCCAAGTACCTTGGCAAAATAGTTATGCATAAAACTGAAGGCATTTTTTAATCTATACTTACCAATGTATCTTGTGTCGGACGCGGACTAAATTTGTCTAGCAAAAATTTCATTTTTTCAAACGCAAACCATGTTGAACAGTAAATTTCGTCGAAACCGGCACCTGAAATAAAGTAAAATATTATGTTAAAATATTTGTTTTAGCTTTATTTCAAAATTCATATGTTCCCAGAAATGAAACTATGTATACACACAGCAATTTGTCACTAATTTGTCCGTATTTATTTATTTATTGACAACCTTCCTGGCTCCGAGTCACCACCCGAGCGGGTTGGCGTACTTTGAGTTTACACATTGTGTAGGTGGTATATATAGTTATTATAGATATAGGATTGCAATGTAAATGTCTCCCATACTTGTCTGGGAGTGAAAGAAAAACATAGAATTAGCCATCTGCTTCTCTTCCCGTGCAGATCGTAAAAATAATAAATAAATAAATATATACGGACAAATAACACAGATTGAGCTAGCCCCAAACTATGAGCTATCCCAAAACTAAGTTCAAGGCTTGTACTATGGGATACTAACTCAACAATACTATATTTTATATCAAATACATGTATAGATAAACATCCAAGAAAAAATCGATCAAGGGATAAGGCACCGTGTAACTGGTGCCACTATTTCTATCCTGGGGTTGGTTATGGTTTCCTTTTAGTTTACGGAGGTCAGATGGGAGTCAGAAGAAGAAAAGGTATAGGTATTGCAAGCTTTAATAGGCACTTACCTGATTTTTTTTGTTTCCTCACATCTTTGCCGCTCTCGTCGAAATGAATTCAACAATGACTCCATTTTCTTTTTGACGATGGAGACATCGCAATTAACAATGTTAGCAATTTCTAGCCAGCAGTCACTTCTCTTCGCTTTCAATTTATATTCATTATTTGTTGGATCCCAAAGACACGGCTTCTCTTTATACAAATCTATTAATAAAACATATCGTCGTTACTCCATTCTTTGTTTTTCTTCATGATCTAAATGGCGGGAAATATCCAAGTAATTATCAAATTGGACGTCTACACGCTACGCTCTCTTGCTTCAACTGAGCGTTCGTTCGTTGGCCTTCGGCGACCGTCCAAACAGAGATCGATCGAATAGCTCGATTTCTTTGATGTTACCGCCACGCTTCGCATCGCTGGCACACGCCAACGAGCGATCGTTGGCATTCGCTAAGCCGTCCAGATTGCAGCAACGAAGGTCAACGAAACCCGTTCGTTGGCGTTCGTTTGGCCGGTCTGTACGCAGCTTTACTAATTGGGAGATCTTTTCATTCTGTCATGAGAAGTAGCTTTCTAACGTGTTGATAATTTTATTCTGGAAAGACTGGAGTTCACTCCTCAAGTCTGGATCTGTAGTGCTTGCGATATATTACAAAAGATGAGGGTGTCACCATTTTAAGGTTTCGTCCACACTCATGTTACCAGACCTGAGCGGACCGCTTCGCTTTGACTTAATTGATCCTCTTGATAAAATGTGTTGTTATAGGCGCGTTCACACTTGTAACATGAAATCAGACCGGACTACGTGACATCGTACAGGACATGTTACGTCTAATGTGGACGGTCTGAGTTGTACTGATACGGTCACAAACCATGTACGATGAAATGTTACAAGTGTAGACGCATGGTGTCTATCTAGACTACGTGGAATCAAGATTCTGTCGGTGCTATCATTTAAGCACCAACCACCAGGCAGATATCTCGTCTGCAGAAGAAAAAGTTGAAGTAAATTTACATTTGGCTTGTGCTAGTACAGTCTTTATAATATTACTTTGTGCTAAAAATAAGAAAGAAAAAAGACGCAGGCGATGGTGGCACACCGAGTTTTATAGAAACAGATAAACACGCGGCGGAAATGCGTTGCTAAAAGATTTAAGATTTCAAGAAATGAGTGGGAAATATAAAAATTTCACACGCATTTCACCAACAGATTTCGATTATTCACTGAACTTAATAGGCCCAAAAATTAAAAAAAAAAGTGGATACTCAACTGAGGGGGGCAATTTCAGTACAGAAAAGGCTTGCAGTGATACAGATTTCTTGCAACGGGTTATTCTTATCCATCTTCGCAACATTTATTTCGAATATCGAAGCAAGCAATAAATAAAATAATTCCAGAAACGTTTGAGGCAATTTTGTACTCAATAATAAAAATAATTAATAATTATTTTTATTACTGTCTAAATTGGTTTAAATACTGTTAGTTTTAAACACAATTAATTTGTGTGTGTGTGTGTGTGTGCGCGTGTGTTTGTTCATATTATTTCATGTAATTAATAAGATCGCTGAAGGAATCTTGTGTGTCACTGTTTTCAATCTCATAGTATTTTCTGTAGGAATTTCACTTGGCACTGAAGATGGAGAGTGTGTGTACAGGTGTGCTTTGCTATGTAGAATGTGCATGAGGTTGTTGTGTAGAATATGAATGTGGATGTTGTTGTGTGGAATTTGTATGTGAATTTTGTTGTGTCGATATCCATATGACTGCTCTTAATAAAAAAACATTGTCATCTTGAAACAGAAAATTGCTTCCTTGATGTTGAAGTGCGTTCTTTGTGCATTGTGAATACATACGGAACTTGCTAGCAATGTAATGGCGTACGTCTGACTCTCATCCGTGTTTGAAGAAGCAGCAATATTTCTGCCTAAAACTTCTTTCAAAAAAACTTATACGGCTTGTGGCCGATGGTTGCGGCGGTCAAAATAAAATATCTATAATTCTAGATATGGTTGCTAAGTGGCTGCACGATGCAACTAACGGCATTGATTATGAATATTTCTGTCACAAAATTCTCAGTAGCAGCCCGGAATATTGATTTATAACTTATTGAAGTTGGCGGGGTTTCACCACCGTGCTTCCGGAAGCACGTAAAGCCGTTAGTCTTACGCCTGATCTCTCTTCCGTCGTCTCGGATTACCGATCCATCGGAATATAAGAGTAAGGGAGTAGGGTAGGCCTGTGCTTGTGCGTACACTTGGGCAATATAATCCTGTCCTGCGCAGATGAATGAAAAAAATGATGATGCATTCTCAACAGAGAATAGCCGCCGTTAACAAAATTTAATCTGGATCCCCTTGTTTTAATATTTTAATGATCAAAAGTGAGAATGAGAACTTAGAATCATACAAGATATGGCTGTTGGCTTTTTAATTTTTTCTGAAGAGCAAGTAAATACTAATTAGAAATAACTTATGTTATTTTGATAATTTATTGTAGATTAATTAAAAATTGTCACTTCATAGCTCTAAGTTCAAAAGTGTAGGTTTTCAGAATAATCACATGTGTCATAATGATGGCACGGGTGACAGAGTTTGCATGATTATATCTGTTACATACGAGTTTCCTCGTATCTAAAGTGACCATACGTCCCACTTTAGTTGGGACGGTCCTGATTTAAAGGTTTGTGTCCCGCTATCCCTAAAATACGTAAAAATGTCCCGCTTTGATAAACAAAAGCGTAGCATATTTTTCCATCAGTTATTTTTTTTATATCATTTTTTTCCATCAATATTCAGTTGATTGAGGGAATGGTATACACACGATGCTATTTCATTAGCTCCTTTTGATGATCGGTCTTCTGTCCACACATGCATACACATTGTCTTTGGTCAGGTTACTATGACAATTTCCCCTAACAACCATAAAATTATAAAGATATAACTGTAGAGAATAGTAAGCTGATTGATCAGCGACTTCTGGTAAGGGTAAATTTTTTTGTCAGTCAAACGATAGAGTAAGCATCTCCGGATTATCTTCTTTTAACTTGTCAAAAAAGCATTTTGCTCTTAATTTATGTATTCTATATTGCGCAAATTCTGCTGCTGAATTTCGTTTTGCTCAACTTTAAGCCTTTCTAAAAGTTTTTAAATCCAGATCCAGAGTTTGTAAATCCAGATCGTGGACTTCATTTGAATGAAGTAGTTCCTTTTCGCAATGATGATGAAGGAGCCACATATGTAAGTCGCCTTCTGAACCCCAAGATTTTTGTAATTTTCCTTCGTGCTCATTATTATCATATTTAAAAGGTTTTGCAACAGGAGTTCTTAACTTTTCGAGAGTATAATCAATAATCGAGAGTATAAAACAAAGATTTATATTAAAAATGTAAACAACATAATGCCCATATAATATTTCATCTCACAAAAAAACATTTTAATGATAAAATTAAAAACAAGTCTACTACCAAATGTTGGAACACAAATTATAGGCAAGTCTGGCTTTCTTTATTTGACAGGGCAAGTTGCAGCATGGCAAGAATGTTGGACTTGGCTATACTCCGAACTATTTATTGTAGTGGAGTCAAGATACTTATGTTCAGCAAGTCATAACAAAACATAGCATATATTTACTATATACTATGGGTTGCTTCAAGTGTATAATGTATAGGGCTACGGAAATGTGTTACTAATTTACCTGCTTTAATACTTCTTTCGAGTCAATCCCAGTCTTTTGAATTTCATCAATGTCAGTCTCAAGATCTGTAACCAAATTTTAAAGGTATAACAATTTTGTATGGTTGCTCTAGGGTTAAGGACCCTAACTGTAATTGTACTTACCGGCTTATATTATTCTGACTCCAATGAAACAGACACTGAGTTAATTAAGTTAATGTTTATTGCATACATCCGTTATTACAAACGGCAAAGACTCATATAATACACAAATTCTCTAACAGTTTATTTATACACAAGTTCTCTAACAGTTTATACACCAGTTTATTTTATACACACAACACTATGAATTAAATACAAATTAAACATACAGGTACGCGAATATAACTATATACTATTTTGCAACTACAATATTTCGCGAAGTAACTGGGGCGAGCGTGGCGCGAGCTCCCACTACGAATGCATCTAATTAATAATATCTAACGAACTTGACCGGTGAAGCAGGCACAAGTACTTCAATACAAAAATATTGTTAACAATTGAATGATTCATACGGAAAAGTTGGTAAGTAGGATTTCTTAAGAATTTAAAGTAATGATTTCTTAAATTTACGCGAACACTACACGTTGAATAAAACTAAATTTACGGATTTTATCGCGTTT